TTGATATTTAGACAACAGTTAGACGATTTTGAGTTATTAACTTTGTACGATCGATTTTTCATTCGATTTCTGTATCTTTCCACACCTAAGACTGTTTAACAATCATAGACTTGAGTTTAGGTCTTGAGAATGGAGTATTTTAAAATTAATTGTTTAAAAATATAAAAAATATTAAAACAAACTTTTAATTACAATTGAGGGATCAAATGAATTATTATTCATTAATTATTATTTTTTAACAATAGTTAATAATGTTTATTAATTTTTAATAAAATTAGAATTTAATATGTATTTTATATTTTTTTAAATTAATATTAGAAAGAATATTTTAAATAAAGAGGTGGTATTTTTTAGCTTTACATTCTATTTTTTTAGGTTTATATTCTATTTTTATTGAATTTTATTCACTTTTAATTCTTTTTTATTGCATTTTTATTGATTTTAAAAAAAAGTGAATAATAATTCATTTGATCTCTCAATTGTAAATAAAAGTTTATTTTAATATTTTTATATTTTAAAACAATTAATTTTAAAAGTCAATAAACATTATTAACTGTTGTTAAAAAATTTGAGTTTTTAGGTTTTTTGATATATGATGTTTCGGGTTTTGATTGGTTGATCCGTGTCTCGACCCAGATATTACCGAGTACTCAGATTTTGTAGGTACATGTAATTCAAGTAATTGAGTATCCAATTTTTTTATCATTTTTAAATTATTAATTTAAAATATATATATACAACTTATATTATTAAATAAAATATTATATTAATTATTAAACATACATTGGGTGGGTTTTTTTTAAAATTTTATTAGTTTACTTTAATATATAAAATTATTAATAATTAAATATGTAATATTATTATATATAAAAAAATAAATATAACCGGGTACTCGGGTAACCGGATACCCCCGAAAAAATGTAATTTTGTGACCCCATGCCCGACCTGGGAAATGTCGGGTCGGGTACCTGGCCCGGTCGAATAATTTTTTTAGATAGTTACCTGATTTTTTAGTTTTGGTCGTCAGGTCAACGGACCGGGTCAACTGGGTCGGGTATTTTTGAACACCCTACTTGGTTGGACGTGTTTAGGGTTAAAACCATTAATTTGATTTTTTAATGGTAAAGTACACAAACGGTCCCCGACTATAGGATCATGCTTTATTAAGTCCTTCAACTATTAAAAATTATAAAATGATCCTTCAACTATAAAGTGTAGGAGTATTCAATTGGTTGGTTTGGTTAACTAACCGAACCAAAGTTCCATAATTTCATTAACCGAGATTTTTTTCTTTTAATCATTAACCAAATCAAATTTTTTCGAAAAAATTTAACCAAACCGAACAAAATTCGGTTAATTCGGTCGGCTAACTGATTAACCGAAATTTATTACAATTTTTCCATTTCTAAAATAACAGTAGTCATTTTACTCATTGAAAAACCAGTTTGCATCATAATTCAACAATCATCATTCCATTCTCCAAGCACAACGAAATACGAAAAGATAGAAGTTCCATACATTTCGGCCTCCATACATCAATAGTTCAGCACAAACAGTCTAATAAACCAAGTTAGAAGAAACACTAATACAATTATATAGGGAGCAGCAGCCAGCAGTTTTCATTCTTCAAAATTCTTCATCTGCATCTATTAAATTTTCCCAAAAAATCATCATTTGCATTATGAATAGGATGCGTACCTTTTTTGTACTTTATCCATTTTTAATTACTAGTTGAATTGATTTTTTTGGAAAAAAATAACATTAATTTAACCAAATAAATTTGACTAATTCCATGATTTTTGAATTAATCAAAATTTAAATTAATTTTTTTGGGTAAACTATTCGTATCACTATTTAACTATTGATCATTTTTATTTTGACCATTAATATTTCGGTTTTGTTAATAAATCACTTAACTATTTAAATACTTCAATCAGATCACTTGTCGTTGACATTTAAAGGAGTATACGAGATTGTTGTTAAAAATATTAATATAATTTTACATTTTAATTCTTAATATTTACATATTTCATTAATTTTATTTTAATTTAAATAAAAAATTAACCCTTCAACCGTTTAAAATTTAAATCAAACAATCTAAATATACTTACCAAAAATAATTTTTTAAAATAACACCAAAATAGCACCAAGTAAAAGTACACATACATACATCAACTCAGTCGGGAACTAATCAATAATATAGACTTAATGAGTTTTAATGTATATGGCTAATTTATTCAATTTAAATAATTTTAAGATAAACTATACGTTTAGTACTTAAATTATTATTTTTATTCATTTTGTTATTCAAACTTTTTATTTTTTAAAATCATATATAATGTTTAGTTTATGTTTCATTTAATCAATAGTTTTATTAATTTTTTAATGTCTAGTACCAAATTGAAACCTAAATTAAATATTATGTATGATTTTGAAAAAAGTAAAGCTTGATTATGAAAAAAGAATAAAAGTAATAAATTATATACTAAATATATAGTTTACCTTTAAGTAAGGTCATGGGTTCGAATTCTGATAATTACGAAGAGAGCCAATTAGTTTAAGATGATCGATTTTATTTCCGTAGTACTTGATCTAAATTAATTTATCAATAAATTAGATAATGATAGTTATAAAAAATAGCGAAAGAATTGAAGAAGCTTAATATTTCTCCATCTCAAAACCAACAAGAACAGGCGATACAAAAACCTGACACGTGGAGAATACAGTTCGGGTTACAAGCGGGACTTTGCCCTCTCCCTCCGTCTATCTTTCACTAAGGTATTTGAATGTTCAAAAATTTTAACTTGCATTTTATTTCTTCACTCTACATTCTCTCTTCCCCGTTTTCGACGGTTCTAACGGACCACCTCCGCCACTTCCGTCATTATTACCGCCGCCGTTGTCACGATGTCCCGTTTTAACCACCTCAGCTAACGCATTTCTTTTATCTTCTTCTTCTCCTCCAAAAAAAAACCTTTGAGAGTATATTTTTTTTATTTTGTTCAAAGATCTGAATTTTTTTGGTTTATGAGTTCTTCTTGAGATCCCTTTTCTTTTTTTTTCCCGGGGATTTTCTGTCTGGATTTCTTCGGAATACCTGTTTGGCTGTTTCTTTCTTCTTTTGTTAGTTTAATTGAGTGAAAATGGAGATATTTGCGCAACGGAGGCCTAAGATTTCGAGCTTCTCTTCTGATCAGACCTTAATGGACTTGCTTCCTTCAACTGCACCTTCTTCTTTCAGAGGTTAGATTCTCTCTTCATTGTCCTCCTTTTCACGTAATTTTTGAGGTTTTTCTCCGCTTGTTTTTGCCGTTAAGGAATCCGAGGCAGAAGTCAGATTCCTCTTTTTCTTCTTGAATTTTTGTTCCGTTTTGTTTTAATATATAAAAACCCCACATGTTCATTTCCATTGCTAATTTATCTTGCAAAAAAAAAATTAAAAGAACTCATGATTATAAGCTTCTTTCCCTTTTTCCATTGAAGTTGATTTTCCTTTCCTACATTTTCTTAGTTACCAAACGCTGCGGCGTTCTCCCTCGTCCCCCTTTTCTTACTTTCTTCATTATACTTCTGATAAATGTAAGATTTTTAGCTTGCGTTTTCCTTTTCTTTGTTTTAATTTTGTGCTATCCCCTGCGTCTAGTCTTTGCTTTTGCCTTCATACAATTTATTTTTCCATTTATCTGAACATTTTTTCCCTCTTCTGCTTGTCAATTGTTTAAACATTTTCCCAAGGTTGAACTTTGTGTCTGGGTTTCGATGCTGGGTTTATTTCTTTATTATAACAATTCGTACCATTTTCCCCTGTTCTGTTAATTTGATGAGTTTTCATGTTCCAGGACTTTTTAAGTCTGCCGTTTTGTTTATGGAACAACTATCCTAATGCTTTTATAAGGATTTATTTCCAGGAAACATGAATCTTCAAAACAGAGACTTTTTCCAAAATTGGCATCTGATTTTGGTTCTTGCAGTAGTGCTACTACAGACGAAGATCAGGTGTGCAATTTTTCTTGTTTCCATTATTGTTTCATATGACAAAATTTATCCTTCTCAGCATTAAACGTCTAGGTCTAGATTCTCCTGTATTTTTACTTTTATATGAAATGATTCATGAGGTAATAGTTGTAATATTAATCAATTGTTTCTGGTTGTTGCAGTTAACGTTTGAGTTCACTTCTACATCTACAAAACAATCAACTGCGACCCCAATGAAGAAGTTGTTAGCACACGAGATGTCGGCAGAAAACGAATCTGGGAGACGGCCGCCTGGTGTTATTGCAAGATTGATGGGCCTTGATGGACTGCCTCCTCAGCAGCCTGGCTACAGGCGGCGAAAAGGAACTGAGAGTAGCCACAAGAAAGTTCAAAAGGGAAGTACATTCAATGGCAGGCAATCTTCTAGGAAAAGTTCCAAGGACGAGCAGGAATTCAAAGATGTTTTTGAAGTTTTGGATGCAGTAAAAATGGAGAGTGCTGCTTACTCTTCACAAGGAACTGCAAACTCAAACCTTTCTGATTCTGAGGTAGCCTTTATTCGACAGAAGTTTATGGAGGCTAAACGTCTTTCAACTGACGGAAGGCTTCAAGATTCTGAGGAATTCAATGATACCCTCGAGGTGTTAGACTCCAACACTGATCTTCTGCTGAAATTCTTTCAACAACCAGATTCATTATTTACGAAGCATTTACATGATTTGCAAGGTGTGCTACCCCGGTCCCATTGTGGTCGAGTATCAGCCATGAAGTCATCACGCACTCTGAATAATGAGAACGGTAACCTAGCGCACAAAAATTGGAGAGAAACTCGGACAAAGCGCCACTTTAAATATGCTCAGGGCCATCAAGAAGATTGTCTAAGTCACCCTCATGGGAGATTTGCTGCTCACAATCCCCCCAAGTCACCAACACTTCAATTAGAAGAGAAAAATGGGCCAGCTATTGTACCCACAAGAATTGTTGTCTTGAAACCAAATCTTGGGAAGTTGCAGAACTCTTCCAAAACTGTTTCATCACCTCGTTCTCCTCAAAATTTTCCATCCAAGTGCACAAGGCACTCGGAAATTTGGGTGTCCAAAATGGGGAGGCAGAAATGCGGGGGAAGAATAAGGTTCATCAAGATACTGAGTTTTTGAGTTATAGTTCTAGAGACTCCAGGGAAATGGCCAAGGAGATTACTAGGAAAATGAAAAATAGCTTTCACAATAGCTCAATGACAATTCCAACCTCCTTGTTGAGAGGATATGCAGCGGATGAGAGCTCATATGATGTATCTGGATCTGAATCTGCAAATGATTCAGATGTAACAACGGTGTCCTACAGAGATAACATTGACTGGAACAAGCGACATAGGAGGTCATCATCCCGTTCTAGTGAATCATCAGTGAGTAGAGAGGCCAAGAAGAGATCGTCTGAGAGGTGGAAATTAACACACAAGTCTCAAGAGGTGCACATTTTCAGCAGGGGCAGCACACTGGGTGAAATGCTTGCCACTTCAGATAGGGAAGGTATTCCTGCAAATTCTAGTGTCCTGGTTGGTGTGGAAGGATGCAATGAGGTTCGTCATCATGTTGAGCCTGCAGTTTGGAATGAACCTTTAGGCATTAGCAGTAGGGATGGTTGGAAGGATGGTTGTCTTGGTAATCTTTCAAGATCACGATCTCTTCCTGCTTCATCTACCGACTTTAGAAGTCCTAGAATAAGCACACGCCATGAAAGTCTTCTCAGAGACAAGTATGTGATTCCAAAAGAAGGTTTCAAGTGGGACAGAAGCAAGTCAGTAAAAGGCAATTTTAACCCGAAGGAAGCTCCATTACCTAGCAACCGAATATCATGTGTTAAGACATCCCAATTTCGGGGTGGTAGTCGCCGTGATAAGGACTATGGCGACATTCAACAAGATTCTGATATCGCCCCATATCAAGTAAAACAAAATAAGCAATCTGAACAGATACTTATGGTCTCAGGGGATTCTGTTGGTATTATTGTTGATTCAAGTTCAGTTCTTGAAAATGCAGTGGATGTCAATGAACTGAATAATTCTGTGCTTTCTGAATGTTCTCACATGGAATTATCGGCTCCTGCTTCATCGAATGCTGCCGTTGCTTGTACTAGTGACCTAGATAATTTGGACTCCATGGTATTTCTTCCGTTCAAACTGTGTTTTAGTTTGGCAATATCCAATTTTGTGAATATATTCTTTGATGTTGCCCACGATGTTGCATACTGTTTGTTATATGCTCTATTTGACAAACCAAATACCTTGGGTAGCCTTGGCCTTTCTAGCAAAATTTTGTATATCAAAGATCTATATTATATACAATTATAGATTATAAGAAATTGTAAGGAGATATTTCTCTACTCAGTTTGACATGCGCGTCTCTTGTGATAATCTCCAGGAACCATCTGAGGGACCATTAGAGCAAACCACACCGCATTGCCCTGCATCGGAACTATCTCTAGCAAGCTCTAAGGAGGCAGAGCAACCTAGTCCAGTCTCGGTTATAGAAGCTCCATTTGCAGATGATGTGTCATCTGGTTCCGAATGCTTCGAGGGTATTAGTGCCGATCTTCACGGTAAATGGCAGTTTTAGTTTCATTACTTTTATATTTAGCTTCCACTCTTTTTTTATGAGTGTTTATGCTTTCAGAGCTTCGGATGCAACTTCAACAAGTAAAACTAGATTCCGAGGCATATGAAGAGGGAACTATGCTTCTTTCAAGTGATGATGATTGCAATGATGTAACTATGCTTGTTTCAAGTGATGATGATTGCAATAATGTATCTGTTGGTTTTATAGAGGACAATGGGATACCAAATGCCGAAGAGATTTCCGAATCCGTATACATAGTTGATGTATTGGTTGATTCTGGAATCGGTCAAGCCAAACTAGATACCTTCTTAGCAGCATGGTATACTCCAGAATGCCCAGTGAACCCACTCGTATTCGAAGAACTCGAGAAAAAATATTGCCATGTAAACTCTTGGTCAAGGGCTGAAAGGAGATTGATGTTTGATAGGATTAATTCAAAGATACTGGAGATCTATCGGCAATATAGAGACCAGCCCTGGATAATATCTGGAAGGAAAATTACTATTCCGAAATGCAACACCGAAGAGCTTGAAGATAGCCTGCTCAAGTCACTAGCAAGCCAAAACAAGAAACCTCACATGGATGAAGGAGAGATGGTGTTTCCAGGGGAATTTCAATGGTTAGACTTGAGTTCAGACATCGATAAAATAGGCCGGGGAATCGAGAGATTGTTGGTAGATGAAATAGTATCCGAGTCTGTGGCACTTTTGGTTTGGGAAACTTATAAACAAAACTGATGAAATGATGTCATTTCATGACTATCAATAAGTTCTAAATTTTGACCAGCAAGAATTATCAAAACCTTGAGTGTCAATATAGGAGAAAATGATAGAGAAAAAAAAGGAAGTACTATATTCATGTGTAATAACAAGTTATGTTGTACTAGCCAAATTCCGATGAAAGAGAAGGAAGACGACCCTTAATTGCAATGCAACACAATATCGGATTGAAGTTAGATTATGTCTAATGTTTGTAAAGAAATATATCACGTGTTCTATTTATGCAGTGCAACAACAATTGCAGTAGGTATTATAAAAGAGTGCAGCTACGAGGCTGCTTCAGCAGGACGAGGAACAGACTGCCATCCGGTACAGTGCTTTACGACATGTTTAAGAGCTTTTGTAGCGGGTTGCATTGTCCATGTAGGGTAGTATTCACTTGGATGAAACATGTCGGACATAACATTCTCAGTTATCAACCCTGCTTGGGTTCCCGATATAAACAAATCCCCTTCTGACCTTATGCAGCTGGTGCAAGCTTCATCCTTGTCGGCAGCCTGCATCACCAATACATCAACAGTGTCAATGACCACATGCCATTAGATCAACGGTTCGAAGAACAACAGAGGATATATGGAAGATAGTTTATAGCTCCTCAACCGAAGGGAATGGCAACATGGGTTCAAAAGACTTAAGGGAACGCCAAGCAAAGTAAACACTTTTCTTCATCATCCTTGCATAAATGTTTGCTCAATATAAAATCATGCAAAATGACTTCTCTTTATCAAGTGAGGCCAAAACACTAGACAAAAGCAAATTACCTTTTCGTTAAGATACTTGAAAGCCACCTTCTTCTGCCCTGCTTCGTATATATTGCACTGAGAGTATATCTTGTATCATGTAGAAAATTAAAACTGTTATCTTTCTCCATAAACAGTGAATTTTTGGAAGAAAGTTTAAGCACAAGAGAATAATCACCTGTGATTCCACACTGGCACAAACAGCATAAATGCCCCAGTTTCTTGTATAGTTATTGTACAAATGTACCTTCCCGTATCTAACACGAGGATGGCGTTGCAGAGTTCCATCAAAAAAGCAGTGGTGAATAGTTATCCGGATACACCTATCACCAATATGAGACGGGTCTGCTCCGATTAGCATTTCTTGTCGTGCTGTGAGAAGTGATACCTGAGAACCAAGTTAACGACCGTTTAATGTAAGTTTTAACCTTCCCAACAGCAGATACTTTCCCGGAAATGATAAAACTTACCTGGAAACAGTAATATCGGTGCTTCCTCGGGTGATATCGATCAATCCATCGTCATAATCACGAAGGCTGCAACGGTCTATCCAAATGAGCTTGGAGTTGGGTTTTATTTGGATCCCATCAACATCCGGTCCTCTACCACCTTCAAACTCCAAATTGCACACGATAACATGTTTACATTCCTTCAGCCTCAGACCTTTGCCGGTGAGTTTTATCCGTTGGCCACGTCCATCGATGGTCTTATACGATAATACACTCAAGTAAGACGAAAGATGAATGGTTCCGGAAACTTCAAAAACGATCCAAAGGAGCTCTTTTCGACGACAACCATCGCGCAACGATCCCGGTCCGTCATCTACAATCAACATTCAAAATCACTCCTAGTTTTACTCAAGTAACTAAATTATCCACACCCAATTTCAATACATGATGTTATCTACAAACGATCAATTCGAAATTTGTAACCTAACCGTCGATTTAACTTATATTCAGGAATTCTAGAAGTTCAAGCTTTAATGGGGTTCTAAAATGGAAATCCACCGACCAAAAAGGATTTACTTTTTCTTCAAAAAAGAAGCATCTGTTTTCAACATAGCAAATGAAATAGAAAGGAGAGGGAGTTAGACCTGCTAAAGTGGTGACATGGTAGAGAGAACCGTGCAGGCCATCGATGGCAAAGCGGCCAAAGCCCTCAGCTTGGCCGGCGAGTGCTCGAAGAGTCGAGTCGACATGAACATAAGGCAAAGAGTGAGCCATGTCAGGTTGGGGCGTACGGTTGGGGAGATATGTAGTAAGGAGGGGTAGGCGTTGTTGGATGACGGTGGTCGTTACGGTGTTTGCGGTGGCCGTGAGCGTTCCTCATTAATGGTTGTAACTGAAAAACGTTTAGGGAATTGATTGATTTTTTATTGATTTTCTTTGCAACGGAAGAGCTTTGTTACGTGGAAGAGATTGATTGGCTAAATTCTGTGATGCAAAGTGCAAACAGTGGGTTTTGCCGACAAACCGTTTTGGGGTTTCTTATGATTCTTGGCGTCAGTTCGTCCAAAAGCGTTTGCTTACACCTGGTAGAGGGTTTTTGTATTTGACTTTTTATATATTATTGCAACTTTCGATGGGAAACTCTCAGGCCACCAAGTCCACAGTGTTAAAAAGTCTATATTTAGGGCTAAATCTACTAGATAACGTGTTAAGGAAATTTTATTTCACGAGATAATGTTCTTCCCATATTATTTGTTGAGATAGGACGAATATCATACTGCAAGAGTAGGTCGTCAGGCGTTTCGAGCGACCAAGGAGGTCGTCATGTTGTCCCCGCGAGCTGTGGTGAGTTGCTGCATTTTGCATGCATGAAGGTCGCCATGCACGGTTAGGTCGCCATACACACCCGTCCTGCTGAAATGAAGGTCGCCATGTATACCGGGCGACCTATAAGGTCGCCATGTGATCCTTGCTGAATTGATTTTTTAAAACTCTAAAAACATCAGACATCCTAATCTTATTCATGAAAAAATTATTTTCCATTGTCAATATATTTGATAATAACCCTCCTTTGATATATATCAACTCAAGACAAAGCAATAATTAATTCAATCCACGGATAAGTTTAACTATACGTATCTAATGGGTTATACAATGACTCTTGTTATTGATTAAAATGCTCTTAAAATTAAGGAAAATAGTGATTAAAAGGTTGTTAATGGGGCCACAAAAGGAGTTATTTTATTTTATTCATACTTTATGCACAAAGTTGAGATCATGTTGCACAAAATTTATTTCAACTAGGATCACATGGCAACCTTATAGGTCGCCTGGCATACATGGCGACCTTCATTTCCTTGGTCGCTCTTGGCGACCTACGCTTGCATTGTGGAATTCGCCCTATCTCAACAAATAATATGGGGAGAGCATTATCTCGTGAAATAAAGTTTCCCAACACATTATCTCGTGGATTTAGCCCTATATTTAGGCATATCATCTTTATCATAAATTTATTTATGTTTATTTATTTATTAAATGAATAAATACAAATAAGATTTGGTATTCGTTTAATTAAATAATTAAATATAAGTTTATTTATTTATGTTTATAAATATTCATTAATATATTTGTTTATATTAGTTTATTTTTATTTGTTTATATTCGTTTATATTTAGTTGGATTTTCATATCCGTTTAAAAATATTAAGAACTAATAAATTTTAACCTTAAATCTAATTAATTTTACTCAAATAAAAGTTATCTAAATTGATTAAAGAAGTATAAACCCTAACTTTTTTTATTAATCTAGAGTGCTTACAAGTGATAATATTTGTTCTAAAGACTCTTAATCATTTGACAATGACGTTCAAATATTATGTAATCTTTGGTGCTCGAACTTGAGACATTTAAGAATAACAATCATTCTTTAATCATTGAGATAACTTATCATGAACATTTTTAGTATGACTTAGTTGTTAGTGTGGAACTGAGCTAGTTAGCTCAACATTTTGAATTTGTTTTCTTACGCATGTTAGTCGAGGTGTAATCAGATGACCCTTTTTACCAACAGTGTTCCAGACCAGACTAGTGCATAGTATGTCTCGAGTTCATCTTTAAAATGCATGTATATTTGTAAACTCGTTTTGTATATTCGAGTCGTAACTTATTTTAAATGATGGTATATATGATTTGAATTATTATTTTGGGCGCTCCTTATGTAAACTATTTTATTAAATTGTGGTTGATTTATCTTGGCATGAGTATTTATGAATAATCATTTCAGATTTAAAAATTAAAGAAAAATTTTGGTTAACCACTCCGATGGTTCTGCGTGGCATTCAGATCGGTCGACTATGTGTCGTACAAGTCTAGGTGTTACATTTAATGGTATCAGAGCTTCAGGTTTAGACATTCCTAGGACCTACGGGTCAGAATCAATTAAAGTTTATGGGTATACATGCATCTAGGGATGTTAAAAGTATTTCTGCTTTTGAAATAGTAATAGTAACTCCTTGTATTGTTTTAATTTTTAGATATTAATCATGGATGAGAGATCAGGTCATAATTAGGAGAGTTGGCACAAGAGTAAAGCTTCTCTTACGGGTGATTTCAGTGGTGAGTTTATCCCTAAGGTTGAGTTTGAGGAGCCCAATGACATGGAAGTTGAGGAGGCGACTTTTTTGTAGAGAGATGATTGTCTCCCTGAGACGTATAGCTAGAGCCCTACCTAGGATGCCAAATACCCCACCTACCCAGCCAACTCTGCTAGTCCCACCCGTTGTAGCACCGTAGGAGTCCCCTGTTGAGAGACTCCGGAGGTACCGAACCACAGACATTTTTGGATCAGGAGATGATGACCTCGTATCATCTGATTAGTGGCTGAGAGAAACTCTTAGGACCCTTCGCCAGCTACACCTCACTCTTGAGGGTATGCTTGAGTGTGTCACCTCCCCATTGAATGATGACGCAATAGACTGGTAGGAGGCAGTTGAGATGTTTATGGAGCCCAAGTGGCTTACCTGGGATCACTTCTTGGAGGAGTTTCTCCAGAAGTATATAGGAGAGGCTCACATCGATAATATGAGAGATTAGTTTTTACAGTTGACATAGAGGGATTGTTATGTGTTTGAGTATGAGGTGAAGTTCCTTAGACTTAGTTAGTACGCACCAGAGTTAGTGTCATCGGAGCATTTTTACTGTAGTAAATTCAACGAGGGCCTCCGTCATGATATCCTCACCCATTTATCTGCCAATCCACCCAAATTTTTTTCCGAGTTAGTCTACCAGGAAAAGGCTCTAAAGAGGGTTTTGGGGAGAAGAGCTGCAGTAGTAACTGTTATTTCCAGGCAGGTTAGGGGAGAAGTAGAGTCATCTGGACCATCTCAGTCATCCAAGAGGGCGCGAGACTCTCAGAGTTCTTGGAGAGCCTCGTCATGATAGTCTA